TAAAAACCCCGAAAAAAAAGATGTGTTTTTTTTTTCACTTGGAAAAACCCACCCACCTTGGAAAAGCAAAAATTTTTTTTTACGAGCAAAATCTACTCAAGTTTGTCTTGTCGTCGGGGTTTTAAGTACGGAAAAAGCTCTTTTATAAAATTCCCGGAAAAGTTATACGTCTCTAGAAATTTTTTGGGTTTTCAACGTTTATAAAATAATGTTTGGAAAAGGTTTTAAGGGGCAGTTTCCGGTTTGAGCTCTTCCCCTCAAAGCAGTATGCAAAATTGTTGCCCAGTGGGGTTCGTTTGGCCCCAATTCAAGCACGTGCCGGTTTTTCAAACACAGTCACTTTCAAAAACTTTGGAACCATGGAAGCGCTTTCTGCACATTAAATGTTGGTTTCCCGTGTTTTTTCAGTTGTTGGGCCCTTTCCCCGAAAGAACATTTTTTTTGGAAATCTTCTTCGTTTATTTTTCCCCTGTGCCTCATTTTTGCCCCGTCTGCAACATAGGAGGCGTTCAAACCCCTTTAAACTGTTCCTGAGAGATAGGACCCGTGGGTTTAAAGGAGGAGTAAGGAAACTAACGTTGGTTTGGACGGTCTTAGGGGGACACTTCGTTTCCCGCCCTCCCCTAGAGGTCTAGATCTGGTCTAGGATAAAGTAGATACAGGGGTATCATACACGGGACTAGGGATTAGGCGGGGTATACTTTCCGCTATACTCTGTACTATTGGGTGTTGAAGGAAGGAGTGGCGAGAAAATGATCCCCACCAAATAGGCTCAGACACTTGGTCAATTTTGCTTAGTTGCCCCTTTCCTCTTCATCAAATAGTCTACTTCCAAATTTTGAAAACTAGGCTTTCTGAATCGAAACATAAGCGGGCATTTCTGTAGGGGCAGGAAACAAAATATTTTTTTAATTTCTTGACCCCGTTTTTAGCTTTGTGTAATTCCTGGGTTTTACGTCACCCGGGGATTTTTTGGTACTCGCCAAAAAAAGGGCTGAAGTTTTAATGTAACCCTTTAAATCAGCCCCAAAAATCAGAGTATCAATTAACTGTTTCAAAATTTGGCTACATCACAAAAAAAAAAATTGTACTACGGAAAAGAGTGTTATGGGAAAAATATAAAACCCTTAAAAGGAATTTTTTTTTTGGTTGTCTTAGAGCTAGAAACTCATAAACAGTATTTTTCCCTCCCCCTTGGAAACAAAAAGATCAGGGGCAAGTTCTTTCTTCCCCGGTATGTTGTACAAGACTAAATCAAAAAACCTTAGTTTTGGAAAGTACTAAAGTGTTTGATCATTAGAAGTACTAGTTTGTCAAAATGGAAAATTTCTCCAACACCTTGGATCAAGAGCCCCCCGGACATTTTTTTCCCAAAACCTTGGATCAAAAGCCCCCCGGTCTGGCCCCCATTTTTACAAAAAAAAGCGATTCTAAAAGCTTAGAGATCTCCCTAAATGAATTAAATTGAAAGGATTTCCCTTTCTAGGGTCCAAACCGGGTTTTGGGGGTTTTGTAACAAGTAGTTTGTTTTCCTTGTCCAATTATCCCTTTAAAAAAATTCAGTTTAAAAATTTTAAAAGAGCTTTAAAGGTTTTCAATGGGTAAGTACTAACTAGGAAAATTAAAAATTTTAAAAAATTTTTATTAAATTAGAGGTATTTTTGGGCAAAAATTTAAAATTTAAACACAGCAAAAGAAAAAAAAAATCAGGGTTTTCGGGGTTAGTAAAATTTTTGTGGTTTAAAGAAAATATCCCCTTTTTTAATTTTTTAAGTACGTTGGTACATTAAAAATTTTAAAAAGATATTAAAAAAATATGTAAAGTAAATGTGTATGTGTGTAAAGCGCCTAAGTAGTTCACTATGTCTCAAGGACTGACTAGACTTTAAAAAAGTGTGACAAAGTCCCCCCACATAAAACTAAATTCTTGGGCCGACTGGGGAACCAGAAAAAGCTGTTGAACAATGAAAAGAATGCTACGCCCCAAAAGCCAAAATAACAAGCGGAAAAGCGACCCCAAACAGGGAAAAAAGGGAAAATAAATTTAAAGACATTTAAACAGGGAATCAGGCAGGTTTCCCCCACAAAAGTTACAAAACTCCCCTACTTTCTGAATCTAAGTTCAGCTAGGAAAAACCCTTTACTGTGACAATACACAGAAACCAGTTTCAAAAAATTTGGTTGAAGCTTTGCCCCGGGACCCGAGTTGTTTTAGAATTGTCTATGGGGGCACACAACCCCAGTACAACGTCGGGGAAAAAAAACTAAAATCTATACAATGTTCTGGGGAAAAGAGTTCTACAGAACTTTAAAAAGAATAATTTAGACAGACAAACTATCCCACCATCAAGCGGTCTAGAGCGAATGAATACTTTTACGGGGAGGTGGGGCCCCCCCCCCCCCCTCGATCACGTGATAGCCCCCTTTGGGAAAACCCCCGCTCAGAAGCCGGAAGGGGGATAAGAAGCGAACCCAAACGATAATTACAGTAGTTTGACCCTTTAAGACTTTAAACTGAGCACATATTATGTACATCCTAACAACATAAGTCAAATAAGAATATAAAGCAATATATTTACGATTTAGCTATTTTCGTAAATATAAGCAATATAAAATTATATGAAAAGATAATATACATTATATATATACATAATAATCATTGTAACCCATTCAGGGGTTGCAACGTACAGCAGCACCAGACGATGCTACAGCAGCAGCAGACTGTACTACAGCAGCAGCAGACTGTACTACAGCAGCAGCAGCAGACGGTACTACAGCAGCATCAGCTGACGGTGGTACAGCAGCAGCAGCAGCAGCTGACAGTGCTACAGCAGCACCAGCAGCTGACAGTGCTACAGCAGCACCAGCAGCTGACAGTGCTACAGCAGCACCAGCAGCTGACAGTGCTACAGCAGCACCAGCAGCTGACAGTGCTACAGCAGCACCAGCAGCTGACAGTGCTACAGCAGCAGCAGCAGCTGACAGTGCTACAGCAGCAGCAGACGATGCTACAGCAGCAGCAGATGATGCTACAGCAGCAGCAGACGGTACTACAGCAGCAGCAGCAGCAGCAGCAGCAGCAGCAGCAGCAGCAGACGGTACTACAACAGCAGCAGCAGCTGACGGTGGTACAGCAGCAGTAGCAGCTGACGGTGGTACAGCAGCAGCAGCAGCTGATGGTGGTACAGCAGCAGCAGCAGCTGACGGTGGTACAGCAGCAGCAGCAGCAGCTGACGGTGCTACAGCAGCAGCAGCTGACAGTGCTACAGCAGCAGCAGCATCAGCAGTTGACCATGGTACCACAGTATTTCGATAATATTTCTCACCCTTTTTACCACAGGGTTGGCACTAGAAGCTTTCTTGGGGCCCATGGTCACTTATTTTGCAGATAGTCACCAAAAACACTGTAATAATACGAAATGTTTCGATTGTATGCTTGGATGTTACCGCGGTTATCTGGTTTGTAAACAATGCCACCGGCGGAACATGTGAGGCTGGCTCAGGCCTCACATAGACGTGTCTCAGACGAACAGCGTTGAGCGGGTTTTTTAGCGGTATGCGAGGCAAAATCTTAACAATAAAATGTATCGGTATGCGGATTTAATGTTATGTAAGGCCAACGGTATGCGGGGGTCCACTGTACTACTGTACATCTGTCAGCCAGCAGGGATGTGGTTGCAGGATCTTTGAGGCACATCACCACATTGACCTTCAATTACGTTATTGTCATTGTTTTTTACAATTTTGAGACCTATAAGAAGTTTAGGTGCCCTTTTCTTGGGGGGGGGGGGGGTCAGATGAATGTATTCCAGCTTTTCCCATATGTTCTTTAGTTTAGTTTACATGATGTTTGATTACGCACTGTTTCCAGGAACGTAACTACCGTTTTATCCTACAGTCTACTGTACTTAGCAATTTTAACCCCTTGACTGTCGCAACCCCCAGTCCTGAGGTGTCTCCTGGTGTCGCAAAATTTAAAAAAAAAAGAATTATTTTTTCTTATGAAATGGTAGAGAATCTTTTCCCAATTGTAATGACACCAAAAAAAACGAAATTTGATGGAAATCTGACGGAATTATGCTCTCTCGAAGTTAGCAACCTCGGCAGTATTTACAAATCGGCGATTTCGCCCACTTTGAGCCCTATTTTCGGCTAATTCCGTTGTTCCAGTCGACCAAACTTGTAGCTATTTCTTTAGAACTCCGTTTTTTCTATCGATTGAGTACAAGAAACTGCCCATTTACCGATTTCAACTACCCAATAATGTGGTCAGAAATTTGCAATTTGGCCAATTTCACAAAAATTAAAAAATATGACAATTTCAAAATAAGGTCCAGAATGAATAATGCAGACATTCCTGGCTCTAAAATAACATTTTCTTTGTTCATCAGTCATGTCTTCAGGCCCCTCTGATATTACTCTTGCTTTCTATTTTGAATTTTTATTCAAACAAAATATAGAAGACTTACTATTATGCAGACTACTGCAATACTGTAATAATTGTATAGATAACATCAACCCATTCATGACTGCATATTAGAATGGCTAGTTGGACATTTATTGGACAATGACATCATTTGTTTACTTTTGAACATCGGCAAAAATCAAACATTTCCCATACATTGAGCTCCATTTTCAGGTTCTTTTTATAGTAAAATCAATCAAAATCACCTCTATTTCTATAATATGTTTTCCATTCTATCAAATGAGACCAAGAAAACGAGAATACAACCATAAATACCATACGAAAATAGACCACAAATTCGGCATTTTAATTAAAAAAAACGGTCGGAGTTTTTTTTTCTCATTATGCACTGCGTGCTCCAGGATTTTTTTTATATGGTGCACACTGACCACACAGACCCATTCTCTCACATGTGGGCCTACCAGCTTTCTCCTGCTTGATTTGAAGCCGCTAGAATTTATGAGTATATATACGTCAAACACGGTACCTCATAAGACACATATATATACGGCCGCGACAGTCAAAGGGTTAAGATGTTAAATTGTTTGTATTTACAGATTTGCTGACACGCCTGTCTTGGAAGGATTGAGTGTTCATGAGACTCATAAGTATGTTTACATTTTGCTGGCGACAGTGTCATCAGTACATCGTATTCGTCTGCCTCACCCTCAGACACCACAGGTTAGTAACAGTTTCTTTTGCCTGGGTAATACATGACTTGCTAATAATGTTTGTTTTCCTAAGAGAGGTGTTGTCGTATACAAAATCCTTGATAAAGTCACATCTGGCTCCTTACTACTTACACTGATTTCTTTACAAACCTTTGGCAAAGTGTGGTAAAAAACCTTAATATGGCTATTAATCGTGGTGGGTGTTGATTGTGTTATGTGGTGCAGGATGTGGCAGGTGTGTTGTGTGGTATAGGGTATGGCAGGTGTTGTGTTGTACAGGATGTGGCAGGTGTGTTGTGCAGGATATGTTGTGTGGTACAGGATGTGGCAGGTGTGTTGTGTTGTACAGGATATGGCAAGTTTGGGTAATTTCCAGTAAGGTAGTCTTTCACCTGAGTTTTTTGAGGTTGGGATTTTGCTTGCTAGTTCTGATCCTGCATTAGAGTAGAAAACATTTACAGTGGACCCTCCCTTTTCATCATTAACCCTTTGACTGTCGCAACCCCCAATCCTGAGGTGTCTCCTGGTGTCGCAAAATTTAAAAAAAAAAAAAATATTTTTTCTTATGAAATGATAGAGAATCTTTTCCCGATTGTAATGACACCAAAAAAAACGAAATTTGATGGAAAACTGACGGAATTATGCTCTCGCGAAGTTAGCGACCTCGGCGATATTTACAAATTGGCAATTTTGCCCACTTTGAGCCCTATTTTCGGCTAATTCCATTGTTCCAGTTGACTAAACTCATAGCTATTTCTTTAGACCTCCATTTTTTCTATCGATTGAGTACAAGAAACTGCCCATTTACCGATTTCAACTACCCAATAATGTGGTCAGAAATTTGCAATTTGGCCAATTTCACGAAAATTAAAAAATATGACAATTTCAAAATAAGGTCCAGAATGAACAATGCAGACATTCCTGGCTCTAAAATAAAATTTTCTTTGTTCATCAGTCATGTCTCCAGGCCCCTCTGATATTACTCTTGCTTTCTATTTTGAATTTTTATTCAAACAAAAAATAGAAGACTTACTATTATGCAGACTACTGCAATACTGTAATAATTGTATAAATAACATCAACCCATTCATGACTGCATATTAGAATGGCTAGTTGGACATTTATTGGACAAGGACATCATTTGTTTACTTTTGAACATCGGCAAAAATCAAACATTTTCCCTACTTTGAGCTCCATTTCCAGGTTCTTTTTATAGTAAAATCAATCAAAATTACCTCTAATTCTATAATGTGTTTTCAATTCTATCAAATGAGACCAAGAAAATGAGAATACAACCATAAATACTATACGAAAATAGACCACAAAGTCGGCATTTTAATTAAAAAAAATGGTCGAAGTTTTTTTTTTTTCTCATTATGCACTGCATGCTCCAGGATTTTTTTATATGGTGCACACTGACCACACAGACCCATTCTCTCACATGTGGGCCTACCAGCTTTCTCCTGCTTGATTTGAAGCCGCTAGAATTTATGAGTATATATACGTCAAACACGGTACCTTGTAAGATGTATATATACGGTTGCGACAGTCAAAGGGTTAATCTGTTCCAGAGAGATCGGCGAAAACTGAAATTGGTGAAAACTGAAACCATTTTCCCCGTAAGAAATAATGTTAATCCAATTAATCCGTTTCAGACACCCAGAAGTACAGTGGACCCCTGGTATTCGATATTAATCCATTCCTGAAAGCTCATCGAATACCGAAAATATCGAAAAGCGAATCAATTTTCTCCCTTAAGAAATAATGGAAATCAAGTTAATCAATGCAAGACACCCAAAAGTTTGAAAAAAAAAATTTTTACCACATGAAATATTAAGTTTAATGCAATAGAATAATTACAATAACAATAATGATAGAATAATAACTATAGAATAATTGACACTTACCTTTAATGAAGATCTGGTGACAATTGATGGGATGGGAGGAGGGGAGAGTGTCGAAGTTGTTACTGTTTAGAAGGGGAATCCCCTTCCATTAGGACTTGAGGTAGCAAGTCCTTTTCCGGGGTTACTCCCCTTCTTCTTCTAATGCCACTTGGACCAGCTTGAGAGTCACTGACTCAGTGCTGTATAGCCCTTGTGGCTTAGGGCTTCTTTTTGATTATAATAATAATAATAATAATAATAATAATAATAATAATAATAATAATAATTGAGAGTCACTGGACTTAGGTCGCACAACATATCTGTCCATAGAGGCCTGTACCTCCCGTTCCTTTATGACATTCCTAAAGTGTTTTACAACATTGTCAGTGTAATAGTCACCAGCACAGTTTGCAATAGCTGTGTTAGGGTGATTGTCATCAAAAAAGGTTTGCACTTTAAGCCACATTGCACACATTTCCTTAATCTTTGAAGTAGGCAACTTCTTCAATTTCTCTATCCCCCCCTCTGAAGCAGTTTCCTCAGGTCTGGCCTCTTGCTATTGAAGATGATCTAGCGGCTCATCAGTGGTTAGTTCGTCGTTGTCCTCCTCCACCAACTCTTCCACATCCTCCCCACTAACCTCCAACCCCAAGGACTTCCCCAATGCCACAATGGATTCCTCAACTGGCATAGGCTTCTCAGGGTTAGCCTCAAATCCTTCAAAATCCCTTTTGTCTGCACATTCTGGCCACAGTTTTTTTCCAAGCAGAGTCAAGGTCCTCTTAGTCACTCCCTCCCAAGCCGTACCTATAAGGTTTATACAATTGAGGATATTAAAGTGATCCTTCCAAAACTCTTTTATAGTCAGTTGAGTTTCTGTGGTCACTACAAAGCACTTTTGAAACATGGCTTTTGTGTACAGTTTCTTAAAGTTGGAAATGACCTGCTGGTCCATGGACTGCAGGAGAGGAGTGGTATTAGGAGGCAAAAACTTGACCTTAATGAAGCTAATGTCCCCAGAAAGTCGCTCTGCCAAGTCTGTAGGATGACCAGGGGCATTGTCTAATACCAGAAGGCACTTAAGGTCTAATTTCTTGTCAATTAGGTAATTTTTCACAGTGGGGGCAAATGCATGGTGTAACCAGTCATAGAAAAAGGCCCTCGTGACCCATGCCTTATTGTTTGCCCTCCACAGCACACACAAATTAGCCTTGAGGACATTGTTTTTCCTGAACACTCTGGGAGTTTGAGTGATACACCAATAAAGGCTTCACTTTGCAATCACCACTAGCATTGGCACACATCAACAGAGTAAGCCTGTCTTTCATAGGCTTATGTCCTGGGAGTGCCTTTTCCTCCTGAGTAATGTAGGTCCTGCTTGGCATTTTCTTCCAAAACAGGCCTGTTTTGTCGCAATTAAACACTTGTTCAGGTTTAAATTCTTCACTGTCTATGTAATCCTTGAATTCCTTCACATATTTTTCAGCTGCTTTTTGGTCTGAACTGGCAGCCTCACCATGCCTAATCACACTATGTATGCCACTACAATTCTTAAATCTTTCAAACCAACCTTTGCTGGCCTTAATTCACTCACATCGCACTAGTTGCAGGCAATTTCTTTACCAAATCATCATGCAACTCCCAAAAACCCCTTTTCTCAAATGGTCGCTTGAGAGATGTTATCTCCTGCTATCTGTTTTTCATTTATCCACACCAATAACAGTCTCTCAACATTTTCTAACACTTGCGGTCGCTGTTTCGTAATCACAGTTGCACCTTTTGCAAGAACAGCTTCCTTGATTGCTGTTTTCCTGGTCACTATAGTAGAGATGGTTGATTTGAGGTTTACTATACAACCTGACCAGCTCCGACACACTCACTCCACTTTCGTACTTTGCAATTATCTCTTTCTTCATTTCAGTAGTCATTAGCACCTTTTTTCTCGAAGGGTTGGCACTAGAAGCTTTCTTGGGACCCATGGTGACTCATTTTGCAGAAACAAGCACCAAAAACAGTGATAATATTGAATGTATGGAATGTATCGTTAGATGTGCTCACACTGGCTGGCTTGTAAACACTGGCACATACGGGGCAGTTCAGGCCACACGTGGACACATCTCGTACAAATCGCATCGAATACCAGGTTTTCGATCGGATGCCAAGGCGAAATTTTTGCATTAAAATGCATCGAATACCGGATTTATTGAATACCGATGTCATCGAATACCCGGGGTCCACTGTATTAACAAAAATTTTTATTTTTAGCTTAAATACAGATTTACATGCAGAAAAGAATGACAAATATAAAGCACTAATAAAATGTATAAATGAACATTTATTTATTTATTTATTTAGAAATTTAGCATACAAACAGAGGTACAAAAAATACAGGTAAGAGCAGCATGCCAAAGCCACTTATATGCATTTGCATTACGGGCTGGCTTTAAAAAATTTAAATTAAGATTAACTAAAACAATGATGAAATCAGTGATAAGACATTATTGTAAACAGATAACTATAAAATACAAATGAGTATTACAAAGACAGGTCCAATGGTTGCATGCATTGCTGTTCATTCAGTAGAATGGAGTATTCTGTTAGGTAGTGTATTTAAAAAAGTAACAAAGTTAGGTTTAACATCACACTTACCTTTACTGAAGACACTTGTTGGTGTTTGGCAGATGGGGCGGAGGGGAGAGTGAGGTGAGTTTGTTGGAGACAGGACAGTATGCTTCAATATCAACTCTTTGGCTTATTTATCTATCACAATTCATTAACCCTTTGACTGTTTCAGGCCCCTCTCTGAAACTGTCATTCTATGTCGCCAAATATTCAAAAAAAAAAAAATTATTTTTTCTTATGAAAATGTTAAGATTATTTTTCTGAGTGTTTTAGTCCAAAAAAAAAATTTTTGCCATTGGTACTTACCGAGATATAGAGCCGTGAAGTTTGCAGAAAATGACCCGCGTATGGCAACAGCGGCGACTGCCGCTCACCCGGTAAACTTTAGTTTACTTGTATTTGAAGGTTTGTTGGTTTTTTTCACTATTTTATTTTTTCACATAACTTATGTGGCCTATGAGACCAAAAGTAAGGTGCTTTTGTATATATAAAACACTCGTTG